GGGGGGATACAGATTCTCCACTTTCTACTTTTTGGGGGTTTTGCTACTTGGATTTTGCTACGGGCCTAGGCTATGCATTACAATAAAATAATTGGGGAAAACTGCAAAAGTCTAGAGAAACAGCCATTTAAAAAAGAGGTGGGAACAGGGAAGTACAGATTACGTCTTCAAAGACAAAAATATGCATTTATTTCTGCTTTATAAAAATGTGACATCTTAGCCTTTACATATAAAACAAAGGAACCAACCAGAAATATCAGCAGAAAGAAACAAGAGGCAGACCAAAGGGTCAGAAAACTCAAGGTATCACAAGACCACAAGAAGTCAGAAGCAGCATGAGTGTAAAGGAACTTCCCTGAATGAACAAATAATGCTAAACTTCGGAACAGAAGATCAGAACAAACAACAACAACGACGACACGTCAATACGCTGTCGGTTGTTACAGTTGTTAGGCGTACGTGTTAACATAACGTACCTGTTATAGTTAGGCCAACTGTTAGCGTAACATAACTGTTACAGTTGCTAGTTTAACTGTTAACATATTATAAGTGTTACAGTTGTTAGGCGTACGTGTTACCATAACATAAGTGTTACAGTTAGGCTAACTCCTAACATAACATAACTGATTCAGATGTTGGGCCTACATGTTAGCATAACGTAACTGTTACAGTTAGGCCAACTGCTAACATAAAATAACTGTTACAGTTGTTAAGCGTACGCTTTAGCATAGCAGAACTGTTACAGTTGTTAGGCTAACTGTTACCATAACATAACTGTTACAGTTGTTAGGCTAACTGTTACCATAACATAATTGTTACAGTTGTTAGGCTAACTGTTACCATAACATAACTGTTACAGTTGTTAGGCTAACTGATAACATAACATAACTGTTAAAATACAGCCTACAGACGAACATATCAAAATTGTCAATACAACACGAACTGTTACAACCATTAGACGTACACGTCCATAAAACATCCACTGTCACAGCCGTCACACAAACACGTCATCGCAGTTCTGATGTTGCAGCCTTTGGACGTATACGTCATCACATCTTTGTCCACCTGTTATCTCCACACCACTCCAAAGTCTGAGACATTTTCCCCAAACATGGTCAGATGGGAGGGTGTTTAAAGTCGATTGTAAAGTCAATTGGAATAGTTCTTTTTTTCAAAGGCCATAGATATGAGCGTCTCCTGTGAACTCCAGTCTTTATACGTGGGTAAAAACAAAAAACGGAGAATCAGCGGAACCGGAAGTACCACATGCAGACGTCCAACAGTGAGCAAAACACACGAGATGTGATCACTTTTCGTGAGCTCCAAAACGTACCCCTAAGAATACAACATGTCATACTACTAGCCATTGTTGACCGATAATGTCAAGGCATGGACCGGCCTAAATGTGACAGAGTGTATGACTGTGTGTAGCGACCGACCGCAAGCAATGACGAGTCATTACACATCAACCTCTGAGCCGGAGATGACACCTCTGGAGCTGGTTATGTCCAGCACTGCCCACGCTTTAACAGATAACCATCACAGCTCATCACGCACGAACTAGGTCCGAATATCTCACAGTCTTTGCAGCAGAACACAACATCGAACAATTGAATCACGTCTGTCAAATGTCATTCGATTTTTTTACCAAATGATTTTTCACATAAACCCCCCCAAAAAATTAGGAAAAATAATTTAGAAAAAACCCCAAACAACAAGAAGAGAAACCAACGAATAGAGAATTGCACAACTACACGACCAAAAGAATCTCCTCCCGGGGAGCTAGAAAAAGCTTTGTTTGCCTCGTTGTTGACCCGGTGTCCGGATTGGCTTCAGGTGCGCCACGTTTACGACGTGACACCTCACGTGACAAGTCCTCTGTCACGTCACGCCATGCCACGTCACGGTCTGGCACTGACAGCGGGGATCCACGAACGCCCTTGCATCACGTCTTGCAACCACCACGTGGGCTTGTTGTTTGTCCAGCGTGGAGGGGGTGTGGGG